GAATAAGAAAGCGCCCACCTCCCTCCTCCTCCTCCTCCTCCTCCTCCTCCTCCTCCTCCTCCTCCTCCTCCCCTCCTCCTCCTCCCCCTCCTCCTCCTCCTCCTCCTCCTCCTCCTCCTCCTCCTCCTCCTCCTCCTCCTCCGCCCAATGTCGAAGCGCCGACCAAGAAGGCGCCCACCCTCCCTCTGCCCCGCCCCGCTCCGCTGGGAGAGCCCGAGCCTCGGCTCGCCCCCTGTCCCCCTCGAGGGCTGCGGGGGGACGGGCTCTCAAGGGGGGGGGGGGGACAGGCCCACGGGGACAAGTCTGGGCGACCCAAAAGGAGGTCCAGCTGCAAGGGGGTGGTGCAATAGACTTGGGGCAATTGTATTGCAAACGTATTGCGCTGGAGAATCGTATTGCGTTGTATTGCAGCTGATGTATTGCACGCGAAAAGCCAGCAATACATTTGCGCCCCGGAATGTATTGCACGCCCCAAATGTATTGCAACCCCACAAATCTATTGCACCAAATCTATTTCACCACCCCCTAGTCGCTGGACCCCCTTTTGGGTCAACCCGAACAAGGTTGCGGCTGGACAGGCTCAAGGGTCAATTCGGGCACGCCGCTGTAAGAGGAGGAGTGTTCAGGAGTATAGTCAAGAAATAGTTGCTGGACGATGTTTGAAAGTATGTCTGACCAGGTTTGGCAATGGCTCTTCAACTTGTTCTTCTATTGTTCGTCCAACATCCGCCTGTAGTGGGACGTGCCCGACCTCGCTCTGGGGTGGGGTGGGGTGCACCTGCCCCTTTTCGCCAGATCTTCGCCGGCAGGGGCCGGGCAGCCCGCCCCGCCCAGGAGCGTGCGGAGTCCCGATCGGGGGCAGATCGCCGATCCGTCGGCGATGTCTCGCCTCGACTCTGGCTCGGCGTTTCCCTCCCCGCACCCCCACTCGAAGGGGGCACGGAGAGGGCGAGGGGCGGAAGGTGGAAGGGTGAGGAGGAGGAGGAGGAGGAGGAGGACGACGAGGAGATGGAGGAGGAGGAGGAGGAGGACTAGTGTGAACCCAAGAGTCATCAACGATGTTAGAATAAACCCTCCCTCCAAGCTCCCTCTTCATAGGCCCCTACAACGGTTCATTTACATTGAAGGAATTGCCTCTTTGGAAGACAATCGTTTGAAGACCCTGGAGCATGCCAAAACATTGTTCTCGGGATTTCAACGCCACGGATCAACCTGATTGCTGCGTCTTGACAATCCTGAATCGTGCCAGAACGCCATTCTTGGGATTCCAACACAGCGAACCAACATAAGTGTTGCACCCGCGTAATCCTGAACCCGTTCGAAACATCATTTCTGGCACGTTGGTGGAAGCATGAAGCTCTTGCAAGTGTGTTAAATCGAATGTGCGCCGCGCTAAGGCGAGAGCCACATTTGGAAAAGGAGCCGCCCTCAATCCGTGAAGCTTTTTGCAACCTGTTAAAAAGAATGTGCGCCGCGCTCATGGGAGAGCCACAATTTGAAAAGGAACCGCCCTCAATCCGCGGGACTACTGCAAATGTTTAAAACAAATGCGCGCCGCGCTAAGGCGAGAGCCACATTCTGAAAACGACCCGCCGCAATCCAGGAATCTCTTGCAATTTGTTTCAACGAATGTGCGCGGCGCTGAGGCGAGAGCCATATTTTGAAAACCGCCCGCCTTCAATCCGTGAAGGCCTTGCAAACGTTTAAAACGAATGTGCGCCGCGCTGAGGCGAGAGCCACATTTTGAAAACCACCCTCCCTCAATCCGTGACACCCTTGCACATGTTTAAAAACGAATGTGCGCCGCGCGAAGGCGAGAGCCACATTTGGCAAACGACCCGCCCTCAATCCGCGAAGCTCTCTCAATATGTTTAAACGAATGTGCGCCGCGCTAAGGCGAGAGCCACATTTTGAAAACCACCCGCCCATGCGCGAAACTGTTGCCAATTTTTCAGCTTCAGAGTCATAAGTGGTGAGAAAGTCTCAGGCGAAACGCCGGGCCCGCCCTAACAACTGGCGCCGGGGTGCGACAGGGAGAAGTTATTCATAAGGAATTGTCCTGCGACGTACCCAACCCTTTCTACACAAGTGGCAATTGCATTCAGGACCACTCGATACCGAGAGACATTTCGGCGCCATGGTATAGTGGTGATCTGCGTAGGACGTACCTCCGCTGAGCCTCCCAGAAGCCCATGCGCGCCAGGTGAGCCAAGCGCGCCAGGCGCGCCAAGTGCGCCAGGTGCGCCAGGTGCGACAGGTGCGACAGGTGCGCCAAGTGCGCCAGGTGCGCCAGGCGCGCCAGGCGCGCCAGGTGCGCCAGATGCGCCAGGCGCGCCAGGTGCGCCAAGTGTGCGCCAGGTGTGCGCCAGGTGTGCGCCCCGTGTGCCAGGTGCGCCAGGTGCGCCCAGCGCGCCAGGTGTGCCAGCTGCGCCAGCTGCGCCAGGTACGCCAGGTGCGCCAGGCGCGCCAGGCGCGCCAGGTGCGCCAGGTGCGCCAGTGGCGCCAGGCGCGCCAGGTGCGCCAGGTGCGCCAGGTGCGCCAGGCGCGCCAGGCGCGCCAGGTGCGCCAGGTCTGCGCTAGGCGCGCCAGGTGCGCCAGGTGTGCGCCAGGTGTGCGCCAAGTGTGCGCCAGGCGCGCCTAGCGCACCATGTGCGCTAGATGCGCCAGGTGCGCCAGGTGTGTCAGGTGCGCCAGGTGCGCCAGGTGTGCGCCACGTGTGCGCCAGGTGCGCGCCAGGTGCGCCAGGTGCGCCAGTTGCGCCAGGTGTGCCAGGTGCGTCAGGTGCGCCAGGCGCGCCAAGTGAGCCAGGTGCGCAATGTGCGCCAGGTGCAACAGGTGCGCCAGGTGCGCCAGGTGCGCCAGGCGCGCCAGGCGCGCCAGGTGCGCCAGGTCTGCGCTAGGCGTGGCAGGGGCGCCAGGTGCGCCAGGTGCGCCAGATGCACCAGGCGCGCCAGGTGCGCGCCAGGTGCGCCAGGTGTGCCAGTTGCACCAGGCGCGCCAGGCGCGCCAGGTGCGCCAGGTGCGCCAGGTGCGCCCAGCGCGCCAGGTGCGCCAAGTGCGCGCCAGGTGCGCCAGGTGCGCGCCAGGTGCGCCCAGCGCGTCAGGTGCGTCAGGTGCGCCCAGCGCGCCAGGTGCGCGCCAGGTGCGCGCCAGGTGCGCCAGGTGCGCCAGGTGCGACAGGTGCGACAGGTGCGCCAGGTGCGCCAGGTGCGTCAGGTGCGCGCCAGGTGCGCCCAGCGCGTCAGGTGCGTCAGGTGCGCCCAGCGCGCCAGGTGCGCGCCAGGTGCGCCAGGTGCGCGCCAGGTGCGCCAAGGGGACAGGGAGGCCTCAAAGTAGTCTGCGTAAGACGTACCTCTGCTGGGCTTCCCAGGAACCCACCAAAGTGGCGACCGTTGCGCAGATCGCAGCCCCTGCGAGGCCCCAAAGTGGTTTGCGTAAGACGTACCTCCGCTGGGCCTCCCAGGAACCCACGAAAATGGCGACGGTTGCGCAGATCGCAGCCCCGCAGGGGACAGGGCGGCTTCAAAATGGTTTGCGTAAGACGTACCTCCGCTGGGCCTCCCAGGAACCCACGAAAGTGGCGACAGTTGCGCAGATCGCAGCCCCCCCTAGGGGACAGGGAGGCCCCAAAGTGGTCTGCGTAAGACGTACCTCCGTTGGGCCTCCCAGGAACCCACGAAACCGGCGACAGATGCACAGATCGCATCCCCGCAAGGGACAAGGAGGCCTCAAAGTGGTTTGCGTAAGACGTATTTCCGCTGGGCCTCCCAGGAGCCCACGAAGTGGCGACAGTTGCGCAGATCGCAGCCCCGCAGGGCACCGCGAACACAGGAGAGAAGAAGGAGGAGAGGGCGGGAGGTGGATACCACAGTGCTCTATTCAAAAGGAGTGCCCAACACAAGGAGGGTTGGGAAAAATAATGGAGGAGGAGGAGGAGGAGGAGGAGGACCAGTGCAAGCCCAAGACTCATCAATGACGTTGGGAAATACCAGCCGTCCGTGCTTCCTCTTCACAGGCCCCATACAAGGATTCAGCTCCACCGAGGGAAGCGCCCCGTTGAGGGACAACCGCGTGAAAGTCCTAAAGCATGGAAAGACACAATTTTCATGATTTGAACACCACGAATCAAGTTGAGTGTTGCGTCTTGACAAGCCTGAATCGCGCCAAAACGTATAGGTTGCACCCTGGCAATACTGAGACGCAAACAGAATTCCGTCTGCGGTGCGTTAGCCATAAGAATACATGAAATTCTTGCGATGTACATCAAAGATGCGCGGCGCTAAGGCGAGAAGCACATTTTGAAAAGGAGCCGCCCTCAATCCGTGAAACCCATGCAAAATAGTGTGCGCGGCTTTTGGGCCGGAGCCACATTTAAAAAAAGGAGCCGCCCTGAATCCGTGAAGTTCTTGCAAATGTTTGAAACGAATACGCGCGGCGCTGCGGCGAGAGCCACATTTAAGAAAGGAGTCGCCCGTAATCCGTGAAGTGTTTGCACATGTTTGAAGGGAACGAGCGCCACGGCAAGGCAAACTACACATGTAAAAAATGAGCCGCCCTGAATCTGCTAAACTTTTGCCAGTGTTTGAAACCAATGTGCCCAGCGCTACGGCGAGAAGCTTGCGGCTCAAAATTGGTAAGGAAGTCTCAGGCGAAACGCCCGGCCCGCCCTTCCGATTGGTCTCGGGGTGTGACAGGGAGGAGTTTTTCATGAGGAAAAGGAACGGATGACGAGAAGGAGGTGGAGGAGGAGGAAGGAAAACAGCGTTCGACCTGAGACTCCGGTGCCTACAGCCACAGCCACGGGAGGAGGGATGGAGAGGAGGGAGGAGGACTGTCTGCCATGATTATTGCCTCTATCCCCCCTCCTACCTCTCTACCTCACCCCCTTCTCCGCCTTAATCATCATTATCCTCCTCCTCCTCCTCCTCCTCCTCCTCCTCCTCCTCCTCCTCCTCCTCCTCCACCTCCACCTCCTCCTCCTCCTCCTCCGCCGCCCGAAGGCCCCCGCCGCGCGCGCGGACCTCGCGGCCGACGTGGCGGCCCTGCGGGCGGGGCTGCGCGAGGCCGCCGCGGAGCTGGAGCGGGCCCGCCGGGAGCTGCTGCTCGGGGCGGAGGCCCGCGAGCGGGGGAGGATCAGGTCGGGCATGTCCCCCTACGGCCGGATTTTCGGAGGACGAATTTACGATAACCCCCAAAAAGTGTCACACCAGCCTGCCTCTTGCCAGGACCTCTGCTGCACGGCTGCGCCCCTGCTCCTTGTCGTGCTCCGACCGCCCGACGGAGTGGCGAATCGGCCAAGGCGGAGCTGCCGGCGCGGATAGCAAAACAACAAAAAACACAACTGACACACCCAAAAAAAAGCATCGAAACCTCATCCCCAGACTATTTTTTGCCATGCTCTGTCTTTTCCCTTTGTGGAGGGGCATGCCCGACGTGAGGGGAGGAGCGGCGGGCCGCGGGGGGGGGCCGTCGGGAGCGTTGCACCGACCCCGAGCCTTGCCTGCATCCCCATACCGAGCCCCACCACTGTGCCACCCCAGACCCCCTCGCGCGGCGGAAGAGCCACGGCGTGAGGTGCGGTTCGCGAGATGTTCGGCCTGCAGGGGCCCTCGCCGGGCCTCGGGACCGTCAAACAACGGCTCGGCACGAAGAGCCCGCCCCAGGGAGGGGGTCCCAAACTCAGGGTGTCGACGCTGCGAGCAGAGTCGCGACGTCGGGGGCCTGGGACCCATGTTGGAGATGGACCCCTCGAAGTCACGACGTCGGGGGTCCACCCCTCGAAGCCCAAAGGAAGCGGCCTCTGTATTCCCATCTAGGAGGGCAGCTCGGTCAGCGGGGCCCAGGCCACGCCGTTTGAGTCAAGTCGGGCGGGTCCCTCTACAGGGGAGGAAATCAAACACAGTTTGAAAGTTTGGGGGCGATTCTTGGACAAGCTGTGGGCATGCTCGACGATGTGGGTTGTCGAAATTGTTATGGCTATGATTCCTTGTTCTTCCCAAATCCACCTGCTGGGGGGCATGCCCGACCTAACGTTGGAGATAAGGGGTGGGGTAGACGATGCTCTCAGGCTGGATCTAGCGATCCATCGTAGAGAAAATCAAGACGCACGTTTTTCGCCAGAGATGGAGAATCAATACGTCGAGTTCAGCATGAAAAAGTTATGATGTCCCCTCCCTCGCGTCCTCGACCGCGACTCCGAGGCTTGAGGTTGCCGTTCGCTGCTGCCGCTGTTTGTCCCCCTCTCTCCTCCTCTTCCTCCTCCTCCCTCCTCCTGCCCGTAAGGTGGCGCAAGGTCCCTCTGCAGCGAGGCCACCTTTCCATATGTAACGAAGCACCACACGCTTCGCTTAGCCGTATCTGTAGAGGTCACGGGCAGATCGGCCACGACACAACCGACGCGTGACCGCTTCCATGTCATGCTGAGAACTCTGCACTGGGATCCTTTATCTTTCGTTTCAGCAGATCGCCAGGAGGAGTTTGTGAAGTTGTCTGGCTCCAGCTTCCACGTGTGCGTCTTGGTCGGCACGCAGATTCGAGCAGCACACGGTGCAGTTGTGGAACACGTAAGTTGGCGGGCTCTCTGTTGCTTCATGCAGGATGGTCTCGAGGAGCGTATACCAATAAGTCTGCGGGCATCACGATGTGCTTGAGCGGCGGCTTTCGTGAATCGCACGTAGTTAGGCAGTGGCATGTTGGCGCAAACTTAGCTGGGCGGGGACTCCGGGCACGTCTTAAGAGAAGGGGATGGACATAGCGGTGTTTGGGCTCTACTTTCAATTTCGGCCGCGAGGGGTGCAAGGTCGGCCGAATTATTTCGCCACGGTTTCTCGATTGGCAACTTGGCTTCGCAAAGTCTTTGCTGAGTTGAATGATCGGGCTCGCGTGGTTCCTATTATTTGTATGGATTTGAATGATGGGATCGGGCTCTCTCGGGAACAAGATCGGTGGACTTATAATGACACGTCGGTCGTCACGGAAGAAATAGCGACTCGGGAGAACCTTGAGGGGGGGTGCTGGACAGCTAGTACGGGAGGTGATGGAGGAGAATGGGATGGTATTGCTTGGCCTGCGAAGTGCTATCGAGCCGACGTGGTACGGCAAAGATGGAGTGGCTAGTCGTGTTGATTATATATTTGGCCCTGCTGCTGCGTTAGGCCTGGTACAGTCTGGCGGCCCCTTGAGGGGCCTTATGCGAAAGCATCAACTCATCCCAGCAAAGCACCCTAGGGATCACATTCTTGTTCACTGCAACTTTCGGTGGGAGCATGCCGAGCCCAACTTGCAGCAGCAGACTAGGATTTCTTTGAATATTGAGGCTATGAGGTCTCGCGAGGCCCGCCGTGCATTCATTTCTCGAGCGGGGGAGGTCATCGCTAGCAAAGAGGTCGAGCTCGAGGGTTTTTTGAAGGCCGGCATGCCTGATGCCTACTTCAAATGTTTGAATGAGGCACTTCGCGGCGCTGCAAAGCAGTTGTTTGGTGGCACTTTTTTATGCGGCTTCCCCTGAGTATCGACGGCAGGCTGATGAGAGAGTCGCCCTGCTTCACGAGCGGCTCCGTCTTCGGTCGCCTCTACAAGATGCCAGCACGGAGGAGGAGGAGGAGACCATCAAGCAAGCATTGAAAGCCAGCAGCAGAGCCTGCGCAAAGCTGCGTCGAAAGCATTATTTGGAATGGAGGGGGGAGGTGGCGTCGGAGCTAGAGGAGGCGTGGCGGGTACGAAACCATAAGGAGGCACATCGCCTCATTCGCTTACTGGCATCTCGTGGAAAAGGCCCCCGCGGTAGGAGCTATCGTCACATGCAGGGCGCCGCGCTAACTTCTGATGAGTGGTTGAGTGTTTGGGCCCTGGAAGGACCGAGAGGGGGGATGGAGGTGGAGGAGATCACAGAGGACGAGGAGTGCGAGGAGGTGGGCCAGAGCGGTTATTATGGCGCCTTCAGCGTCGAGGCTATGGCAGATATGATTGGCATTGGTAGGTATCTTCGCAGGGCGTCCAAGAGACGTTCATGCCCGCCATGGTCTCTTCCAGGTGAGCTTTGGGGGATTGTCATTGATCCTGAATTTGGGCTGGCGCCAGATCGACTAGGGCTCGGAGCGGACAAAGATTTGGACTCTGCTGTTTTGTATACGGCGCTGCATAAGGGCCTTCAGCGCGTTCGTTTCGCTGGACGTTTTCCACGGCTCTGGAATAGAAGTTCCGGACGTGGGCCCCCGAAATCGTCGGCGCCTGGGCCCAAGGGAAAGCGCGCAATTCACCTTCTCGACCCTTTGGGAAAAGCCTGGCTCGCAGGCGCAATTTCTCGAAAGCGACCGCTTCCCTTGGGACCTTCAGATTGCGGCTTTTCAAGAGGCCGACGAAAGGAAGGGGCCATGTTGGTTATTCAGTGTATGCTACATAGGCTTCGAGTTTCAGGCTATTCTGCCAGCTGGTCCAACAAGGACCTCAGCAACGCTTTCCCGCCCACCAGCTGGGACGCGCTCGAGCTTGCCAATTCTCTCTTGCTTGAGCCCGAGGACCAACCTTTTGGGCGTGATAGAGCACGATCAGCTACTATTCAGTTGCCTGCGTCGGACAAGAGGCTTCTCGTGAAGCCGAGGTGCGGGGCTCTTATGGGCGACCCCATACGCAGTAGAAAGTCTTGGCCGTGCTTATGCTGCTCCAGTTGACAGTTGGAGCGAACAACTCTTGGACTGTGTGGACTCGGAGAGTCTTCTTGCAGCTGAATGCCCAGTCACGCATCAGCACATGGACTTGAGTCTCACTAAGTATGCCGACGATCTGACCAAGTTGCATGTTGGAGGCGGCCCCGACTCTCCTTTGCCCGACGCAGGGCTGGCAGAACTTAGCAGCATAAACGAGTTTCCCAATGCATGTCTAGATGAGCACTTATCTACGGGGGGATGGGAGCAGAACGTTATGAAGCAGAACACCATCATAAGTCTGACGGGGAAGGGGTCCGCGGATGCCAACCGACGTCTGCGAAAGGATGGGGGCGCTTTTTTTTCTGGCGGAGTTCGCCCCGCCACGCGAGTTCTAGGAGCACAGATTCACAGTTCTGGAGCGCCGGCGCCCGAGATTAACAGGAGAATAGTAGCAATAAAGCCGGCCTTTTATTCCTTGGGCAGGTTCTGGTCTACTCCTGGGGTACCTCATCGGCTTAAAAGGTCTTGCCTACTTGGGATTCAGAATGCGGGTATATCTAACTTAGAGGCCTATCTCGTCACGGAGAGCCAGTGCAATAAGCTCGACTCGGCTATTGTTCGGCATTGTCGCGTTGCAATGCATGGTGCCAGCTTTGAAGGCGAGCGGCACACGCAGATCTTGTCGAATGCGAAGGTGCTCGAGCACTGGCGCATGGCCCCAACTTTCACCGAGCTCAGGATTCGCAGGCTGGGATGGCTTGCCCAATTTGTTCAGTTTCCTCGCAGGAACTCGCAGATTTTGGCTGCGGTGTTCGGCACCTTGCCCACGGACGAGCGGCCGCAATTCGATTACATGGGGCGATTGACAGCATATGCGAACCCGTGGGCCAGGATGTTCTACGCTGACCTGGAATCGCTTTCGTCTCTAGAAGAAGGTGAAACATTATTTACACGACTTCAGGGGCCCTTCCTCGCTCTCTTCTGGGATAAGACTCTTGGGAGGGACTTTTGCGTGATCGACGTTGCCCAGCTACGACGCGAACAGCACACGGTAGCTATTCCGCCCCCTGAGTACGAGTCCCCCTTGGATCAGGTCCTCGAGCAGGAGGTGGTGGAGGGAGTCGTGGCCAGATGGATACGAGGAGCTTTCAAGGAGGAGGAGGGCGAGGACGGTACGACGACGGGGAGGAGATGTGGGTGCAACGCCAGGTTTCGTGATAAGAAGTCGGCCCTCAATCATTTGCGATTTCATCACCACCTACGTTCCTTGGGTCATGTTTTATGTGTTACCAATCAGTGTCCGAGTTGTTTGGAGTTGTTTTCCAGCCGTGTGACAGCGGCTCGACATCTGGTTGGGTCTATGGTCCGAGGGTGCTGCTGTGCTGGCGGGGGTCACTCACAGGAGCCACTACAGGAGCCCGATGACCTCTCATGCAAGATATGCGGATACCATGCCTCTGAACTCCACGACTACCAACAACATGTCTGTAGTCGTTTACCTCAAGTGCTGAGGGTGCACGACCGAAAGCATCACAGATATCTTGACGAGCAGCTACTTGAAGCCGATGCCAGAGTCTCAGGCGCGCCCCGCGTGGATGGGCAAGCGCAAGGACGGAGGCCCCGCTCGCAAGGAGCCCAGGCGAGGCGGCGAGGACCGCGGAGGCGGCTCGCAGCAGGTCGCGGTGGCTGGCGGCGCCAATGGCGCCAACAAGAAGCAGACGCTAGAGGAGCTCGTGGTGGTCTTGGCCAAGCTGGCGCTGACGGACGAGGCGCAGTGGCGGGCGATGCTGGGCGCGGCGCGCGACACTTTCCTCGCGCCGCTCGACGCCGCCGCGTCCCAGCGCACGCTCGAGGAGGGGGCCAACTTCAACAGCGAGGCGGGGGAGCGGCGCCAGAAGCTAGCGGAGGCCGCGAAGAAGGGCGAGCAGCTCGAGTTGCCCAAGATGCGCGCTCCCTTCCTGCGGACTTTCGCGGGGCTGATCGACGGGCTCTTGGACAAGGACGAGGCCTACGAAGGGGACACGTTGAAGGCAGGCCGCCAGGTGCTGAAGACCTACTGGGACCAGAAGGTGACGACAGCCGCCTCGCCGAACGAGCTCCACGAGATGGCGCGCTACTGCCGCGCGCAGAGGCCCAAGACCAAGAACGCCAAGCAGGGCGAGCAGGTGAAGATCCAGTTCTTGCTGGATACGACGACGAACGACGGGGCGGTCCTCCTCAAGGCCATCCGCGAGGCGCTGGTGGAGCAGGGGGCAGAGAAAACGATCGGAGGGGCTCCCCGAGGCGTCCTGGTGAGGGAGGCTCAGAGGCTTCTGGATCTTGTGAAGTAGTGACGGCAGCGGCTTCGGGATCCAGTGAAGTAGTGACGGCAGCGGCTTCAGGATCTTGTGAAGTAGTGACGGCTCCTGTCGTAGAAACTCAAGGTCAGGTGCTACTTAGAGTTGCTTCCGAGATGGGGGTCACCAGAGGTATCCGCGGGCTCTCTCCTACTAGGCCGGCCAGACTGGCGCCTGACTTGGATGCTCGTTCAAGTGATAGTATTGAGCAGGCTTCTCGTTCTCGCAGCGTTTTTGTTTCTTCGGGGGTGGGCCCTGATTGGAGTTCCAGTCGCCACGCTCAGACGCTCCTGAACCGAGGGTTGCTGAGTGAATCGGCAGCGCAGCGGGTCTCGGGACTGGCTGAAACGCCCACCCCCTCCACTCTTCTTCCTGCTGCGATCCCCGCCCCTCCTGGCCTCGAGCCTCCTCCCTCCTCTCCTGCTGCTGCTGCTCACCCATCTCCTGTCTATTTTCCTTCGGCTCCCGAAGTGGGGCCAGCCATCGCACTCCCTCGCCCTCGCCCGCCAGGCAAGGGAATGGGGCGGCACCGCCCAGGCAGGTAGCTGGGGGCGGTGCCGAGGGCGGCAGCCACAAGGCTGCGCGCCTGCTGGGCCCGCCGCCAGGCCAGAGTCGGCCCCTCTCGGGCGCCGATCAGCGCGCGTGCGGCGTGCCATGATAGCCCTCCACACGGAGAACCCAGGCGCCACCTCTCTCCGCGGCATGCTCTTTCAGATTGTAGTTAGCAGTCAGTAGAGTTGTCACGGATCGGCGCCCCACGGTCCTATCCTATCCTATCCTCCTGCCCGTGTGTGTGACGTTCGCTGGAGCTTTCAGCGTGAGGTAATGAGTATGTCACAGGTTGGTCGCATCCCACACGTCGGCGCGGCTGTCCCCAGAGCTTGTGACGAGAATGTTGGGGCCAGCCTAGGCCCCCGTTTTCCTTCTCTGGATGTGTATCCAGCTTCGGCTGGCAGCAGTGATAGCCTACTGTGGATGTTGGCAGGTTGCACTCCATAGTATAGCACGCTCTCGTGTGTACGTTTTATTTCCGTCATGGCCTACAGTGGCCGTTCTCGACGCACGCTTGCATACGCATTCGAAGCACGCTGCGCGCCTCCATGCCGCGCATTATGAGTATGATTATTATTTTTATTAGTATTATGAGTATTATTATTAGTATTATCAATATTATCATTAGTATTCGTCGTAGTCGTATCAGTATAATTATTATTGTTATTATATTATTATTATTATTAATACTATTACTCTTATCATTATTATTATTAGTATTAGTAGTAGTATTATTATTAGTATTATTATTATTAAGACGCCGTCCGCCCTCCCCCCTACCCCCTTGTGCGTGCCGCCACCATGTCGATCGAGGGTCGGTCCGGTCGACCTGATTCGATGCCGACTTCGCCCGGCTCGATCGTTTCCCAGCGAGCCGATGCGACCCGATGCCCAGGGCCCCAGAGGCCAGGACGCTGCAAATTACGATATGACAATTCCAGCGGGAGAGACAAAAATATGGAGAATGTTTCGACGCACGGCTGCAGTTTTCTCGGGCGCGCCAACGTCCTGGTTTACCAAAACCCAGGTCTTCGGGGCCTTGAGGCGCGTGCACGGCACAGTTGCGTTTCCAGGCGCAGTTGGTTCAAGTTGATTTCGATTCCGATCATCCCATCTGATATGTTTTCGCCAGGCCGCTTCTTGGATCGGGCTGCGAGGATCGAGCCCAGACCTCCAACGCATCGAGAACTGAGAAAACACGACGACTGTGTTTCGCGCCAGTTCTCGGACGGTGCGGGGGCCATCTGTCGGGAAAGGCTTCGGAACGTAAGTTTGGGTTCCCCCCCTTCATCCCCCTCTTCTGACCCTCTTGGGGGGTTCGGTTGCTTCTTGGGGGCATCTGGAGCCCTCCTGGGTCGTCTCGTGGCCGTCCTGGGGGCATCTTGGCTTGAGTTGTGGCAATCTTGAGGGCTGACTTGGGCGATCGGAGAATTAATAACCGCCCCCGGGCACCCGATGGCACGCAAGCACGCCTCTGGCCCGTTGAGCCAGAGAATTCTCGGCGCCGAGGACTTTCCCGTGGCTCCACCAACAGAACGCAGTACTGTTTTACATTGGCGGTTCATTCTCGGCCACCGAACGCGCAACCTATGGCGCAACCAATAGTAGGCCTTTTTTGCGTCGGCTGCTGAGCGCGCAACCTTTGAGCAGCCAGTCGCAGGTAGTGTTGTCATCAGCGGCCGAGCGCGCAACCTAAACTGGATCCAACAGCAGGTCGTTGTACTCCCAGCGGCCGAGCGCGCAGTCTATGGCGCAACCAACCACGATACCCTATTACGTCGGCCACGTGGCGATCTTGCGCAACTGATGGCGCAACCCGTGGATGGCGCAACCCATGGATGGCGCAACCCATGGATGGCGTAACCTGAGGAGCAACTCATGGATCGCGCGACCCATGGCGCGCCACATGACTGGCACCCACCCCTAGCAGGTTCTACGGGACTGCGCCCGAGGTATGCTCGCAGTTTGGGTCAGCGGTGGGGCACATGCAGCGAGCTGTTCCTGGTGTCTTCAATTCCGCGGCTTCAGAGGTCTCGACCACTTCCCTGGGGGCCGCTTTTCGTCCGGGATCCGTTCTTGATGGCCCTGGGGCCCGAGATGTCGCCCCCAAGGAAGCCTTTGCGAAGGAAAAGCGCCGGCACTGAAGGATTCGGCCAGCCCGAAGTATGGGCCGGTGGTGCGCAGCGCCGCTGCACCCATGCAGCGAAAGGCATGCCCCAAGAGACGCTCAACGAGTCAGGTCGGTCTCAGGCGCTGAGTGCTCAGTTCCACCGCGTGATCATTTGCATCTTCGTCTGCACGAAATGGCATACACGCAGCAGGCTATGCACCCGCCCTCCCTCCCCGAGGCCGGGGGCGACACGGCGCGGCTGTTCCTGGGCCGCGGGGACCGAAGGCGCGCCGGAGCGGCGACGGATGCGCTGCGCAAGGTCGCCAGAGCCCAGAAGCGGGGGGGGTCGTAATCGTTCGCCGTCGCCGTCCGCCGCCGTCCCCGCTCCCTCTTCCTCGTCGTCCTCCCTGCCAGCTCCCCCTCCCCCTCCCACTCCAGAGGGGGCGGGGGCCCTTGTCGGCTACGCGTAAGAGTGACCTTTCGCCGGAGTGACCTTTGGTGCGGGCCCAACGGGGTCCCCCGATCGCCGAGCGCGACGCGGTAGTAGCGTCTTGCGCGCTCGTGTTTAGTGCCCCCGCGGCCCCCAAAAAGCCGCGCACCAAAGGTCACTCTTACCCAGGGTCACTCTTGCGTGTAGTCGACCTTGGCAGGCTCGCGTCGTGTCGGCGCTGCGGCACCCCCCCAGTGCTCCGAGGTTTTGAGTGCCACCCGTGGCCTCAGAGCCGGCTGGAATGGAGGAGCGACTCTCCGCCAGATCGGGAGGCCGCGATCGTCCACAGTTCGGGAGCGGAAAAGAGGGGGGTGATGATTCTACAGGCTTACGCCACATCCGCCGACCCCTTCTTCACGAAGGGAACGGGCAATTTTTTGCGCCGAGGGGCCCTCCTGGGACGCATCTTGGAGGCCTCTTGGGGCCTCTTGGGGCCGTCTTGGGCCGTCTGGAGGCGATCGTCGGTGTCTTTGATCGCTCTTCGACCGTCTGTGACCATATTGAGCTCTCTTGGAGGCCACTTGAAGCGCTCCTGGAGCGCTCTTGGGGCCGTCTTCGGGGCCCTCTTGGGCAATCTTGGGCGCCTCTTGGGCTGTCTTGGGGCTCTCTTGGGCTGCCTTGGAGCTTCCCTGGAGGCTGCTTGGACCGTCTTGGGGCGGTATTTAGGGCCTCTTGGGCCGTCTGGGAGCGTCGGAAAGCCCAAAAAGCGAATTCGTGAAAAATGTACGTTTTACGAAGGGAATGGGCCAATTTTTGCGTCTAGGGACCCTCGTGGGACGCATCTTGGAGGCCTCTTGGGGCCTCTTGGGGACCTCTTGGGCCGTCTTGGAGGCCTCTTAGCCCGTCTTTGAGCCATCTTGGGCGTCTTGGAGCGCTCGTTTGGCGTCTCGGGGCTCCCGTGGGCCGTCTGGAAGGCCTCTTGGGGCCATCTTGGCCCGTCTTGACCCGGAAAAGCCCCTTCGGGAGCGGAAAAGAGGGGGGTGATGACTAGGGGGGGGTGGATATCATGGCGGGGGCCATGATATTTCCCCAGATTTCATGGCGCCCCTTCTTATTTCATTACGTCCCTGGGCCCCCCCCTGGGCCGCGCACATGCCGCCGGTCATGATTTGCACCCCCCCTCTTGGACACCCCCCTCTTGGCCGCTCCCGAACAGTCGAACGATCCACGCGGTCGCCACGACACGAATTTGCCGTACAGTGCCGTTTTTAATACATGCTCCGCGTGCGGACCATGTCATAAAATGCAAGGGATCTAGTACCGAAAACAACGGTGAGTTCATGCATGAATTTAATCATCGATTAAGCATGTGTTAAAAACCTTATATTAAAAATTAAAATAACAAATAAAAAATATATTTAAAAAAAATGTGATCTTGGCGCCGCACTTGTTCGCACCGGGCGGGTGCGCCCGGGCTCGGACCTCGGGACCCGCACGGATCGAGCCGTCCCCAGGCATGGCGCAGAGCGGTGGGGCCGACGGCACAGGAGGCGGAGGAGGAGGAGGAGGAGGAGGAGGAGGAGGAGGAGGAGGAGGAGGAGGAGGAGGAGAGGAGGGGAGGAGGAGGAGGAAGGGGGAGGAGGAGGAGGAGGAGGCGGAGGAGGAGGGAGGAGGAGGAGGGGGAGGGAGGAGGAGGAGGAGGAGAGGAGAGGAGGAGGAGGAAAGGGGGACAAGGAGGAGAAGGAGGAGACCCCTGGCGTCATCCTCTTTTTCGCGACGCCGGCCCGCCAGAGGTCTGGACCCCTTCCCTGGGACCGGCTATTCATCCGGAGTGATTTTTTCAGCCACGCGCAGAGGGGGGTGGGGGGAGGGGGGAAGGCTTCTTAGAAGCACCCCTGCTTCTTGGAAGGCGAGGGCCTTCTTTGTAGATGTAAGGCCGGCGCCTTCTAAGAAGCAGCCTCCTTCTGAGAAGCCTTCCACCCTCCCCCTAGCCCCTTTTGCGCGCCGCCAATTTTTGTTGCCGGCCGGAGACACTTGTGGTCGGCGGCGATTTGGCTCCAGGCTGCGGTCGGGGCAGCGGGACGCGCAGGTGCCCCGTGGAGCACCGGGAGGAGTGAGGCACAGGGCGCGGCGAAGGGGGCCAGGCGGCGGGAGCCCAGACCCCCGACGTCGTGATCTGTTCCCAACGTCGGTCCCCAGAGGCCTGGACCCCTTCTCCTCCTCCTCCTCCTCCTCCTCCTCCTCCTCCTCCTCCCCCTCCTCCTCCTCCCCCTCCTCCTCCTCCTCCTCTCCTCCTCATCCTCATCCTCATCCTCCTCCTCCTCCTCCTCCTCCTCCTCCTCCTCCTCCTCCTCCTCCTCCTCCTCCTCCTCCTCCTCCTCCTCCTCTTTGTACTTGGACATGTGCATTTTTTCTCGGCGGGGATTATTAAGGAGCATCTTGGATCATCCTGCGAAAAAACCACCCACGAAACCGAAAAAAACACAGGGCATGGACGTCCGAGCGATGGCGAGCAGAGGTCTGGACCCCTTCCCCGGGACCGGTTTTCCATCTTGAGCCGTGTTTCAAGGTCCCGAGGCTGGGTGAGGCCCCCTGGAGGCAGAAAGTATCAAGCATAACGAGGGGGTCTGGGCCAGCTGCATGCGGCCGATTCAATGCCACCCCCCTGATCTACCAGATGCATCCCCCCGTTTCTTCCGCCCCAGGAGGTGCTAGTGCGAGGGGGGGCGCCCCTAAGGAGGCGGGGGGTAGGTCACGAGATCGATGTGTACACGCTGTTCATGTCTAAATACTCGAAAGATCTTTGAGTTTTGGGGGGCCAAGACCCTTTCAGTTCTAAGTGTTCTATCCTGGGCCTCTTCCTGGCCACTAGGGGGCCAGGAGCAATTAGGAACGAGCACAGTCAGAAATCAGCACGATTAGAAATGAACGACGTTTATCCTATCTGGTACAAGATACCATGTCGCCGCGCCAGTTGTTCCGACCTGCTGCCTTGTGTCTTGGGGAGGCGCCGCGGGCACCAGGGCAAACGCCGCCTCGGACGCGGTGCATTCGCCGTGAGTGTGCCGCGGCGCTGGCTTCGTCTACTTGAAGCGCGGGGCGCGCGGTCTGCCGTGGGTTTGCGGTGGTGTCGGCGTCGTCCATTTGGGCGCGTCGAGAACTAACGTTGCGGCGACATGTGCAGTGCAACCCCTTCTTGGTCTGACGATGGCATGGGGCGTCTTGGAAACCCTTCTGCTTCTCGGGAAGCCCTGCCGGACGCCTCGGGCGCATCCGAGCACCTCCGAAGCCCCCATGCTTTCTCGGAGGGCCGCCCCGCCCCCTCCCCCCACGCTACGTCCGCGCGCCGCCACCGAAGGGCCACTCCCGCCTGGGCAGGGCGAACGCGCAGGCGCTCGAGACCGAGGAGGTGGGCGTTCTGACCCTGCAGCGGCTTCGCGGGCAGCGCGAGCAGATCCTTGCGATGGAGGACAGGACGAAGGACCTGAAGAACAACCTCACCGAGGTCGAAATCTCCTTGCAGGAGCTAGGAGGGAAGAAAGATGCCGACACCGATCCCCCCCTCCACAGCCCCCGCTCCCGTCCTCGTGTTGGAGCGTCATGGCCGGCCTTCGATCCAGGTCGGAGAGCACCCCAGGAAAGTTCCCGGGAGTTGCTACATCGGTTTCCGGGCAGGTGGTAATGGAGGTGATCCATATGGGGGGTGAAGGAAAGGGCCATAAAGGGGGCCCTCTGGGGCTTCTGCTGGCTCGAAGAGGAGCCCTAAATGTGCCTTTGTGGGGCCAGTGTTTTCACCCCCGCTTAGGGCCACTCCCCACTAGCACCCGCCTAGATCGATGCCCCCGGATCTCCGACGTCGCGGCGCCCGATGTAGGTGCAACCGAAGTCGCGGTGACCTGCCCCTGTCTGTAGTCAGCCGCTTTTCTCTATCTTCACGCCTGGTTGCCATATACACCCTAGGCGATGCTGAAGAAAACTTACGTCTTCGGCCAGAGTCTCGATTATTCTTAACGTTTCAGTGTAAGTCCTAAGATTGTCATAGGAATTTCGGGATTTTATTCAAATTCGGAGACTATGAATTTCTTAACCCATGATTTCTTAAGCATCTCGCAGGGTGTACGTGTAATCTTGCCCGCGCGTTTGCAGGACGCAAGGCTTCAGTCCGTCAGTCAGTAAGGCCTCAGGGGCGCTTCCCGGTGTGTGAGTACAGCCGGTGCGTGCGCGGCCTGCGCTGGCCAGCCCTGCCCGCTGAGAATTGTCTGGTCACTCGTTCGGCCGTGCTCGGCACCAGGTGTTCGTGAGTCGCTTGTTCGGCTATGCTGTGCGTGATCGTTGCGTGCGGCGAGGCAGGCACGTGTTCGGACCTCTGCTCGGCGCCCCGCGGCTGTCACCACTGGGTTCGGCAAGTGTTTGCCAGCGCTCGCACTGTATGATACAGGGGAGACCCATGCCAAGAAACGCCCTGCTTGCCTCCAGGGTGCCCCGGGTTTCTTGGGTCCCGATGGTTTTGCGGTGGAAAGCGCGACGCCCCCACGCCAAGAATCGATGGACGTCCTGGGGCCTCAGGTTCGGGTTTCCTGTGCAAGGCTTCTTGTGGACTGGACTCCACTGTGTCAGTGATCGTTTTGTGTCTGTAGGTGTTCGGGCATGCGCCTGTCCTCGGCCTTGCTTCTCCTCTTGGCGTGGCTGCTGCGTCCGCCCGAGCGCCTCTCGCAGCCCCCGGGGGTCGGGGGCCCCGGCCCGGAGGACGGCTGCAGGCTTGGGGGGCGTCCAAAGAACAGCGTCGGGCCCCCCACGCGTGAATCCTTTTCGCAGCCCCAGGGATCGGGGCCCAGCCCTGGAGGACGCTAAAGGGCCTGGGGACCTTCCAAAATATCAGCCAGCGTTGGCTCCAAATAGCTGGGAGGACAGGAGGAGGACGAGAGGACGATGGGAGGAGGAGGACGAAAGGAGGACGGGAGCAGGACGGGAGGAGGACGGGAGGAGCAAAATCAAGCAAGCGCAAGCAAGCAAGGGTAAGCGAGAGCAAGCAAGCGAGAGCAAGCACGCAAACAAGCAAGTGCAAGGAAAGCAAGAGCAAGCAAGCAAGCAAGCAAGCACGCAAGAGCAAGGACTCGCCATTGGAAATAGCGGGGGGGGGGGGTCCATTGGAAATAAGGAGGGTTGCCATTGGAAAAGGGGGGGGGCATTTTGGAAATACGGGAGGTGCCATTGCAAAAAGGGGGCGCCCTTGGAAAAATGGGGGGGGGGGGGGGCGTCCTGAAGGCCAATGGCTTATGATGAGCCAGGACTCCTGTAGGGCAAGCCTATGTGGAGAAAACTGCTCAGCCCCCGGAAGATGTGTGCCCATGTTTTTCGCAGCCCCGGGGCCTGGGGCCCTGCCCTGCCCTGGGGTGACGCGCTCGGGCCTGGGAGCTCCCAACAAGAGTGGTACGGGCCCCGAAAAGTTGATTTCCCTCCTCCTCCTCCTCCTCCTCCTCCCTCCCTCCTCCTCCTCCTCCTCCTCCTCCTCCTCCTCCTCCTCCCTCCCTCCCTCCCTCCCTCCCTCCCTCCCTCCCTCCCTCCCTCCCTCCCTCCCTCCCTCCCTCCCTCCCTCCCTCCCATCCTCCTCCTCCCCTCCTCCTCCTCCTCCTCCTCTCCTCCTCCCTCTCCTCCTCCTCCTCCTCCTCCTCCTCCTCCTCCTCCTCCTCCTCCTCCTCCTCCTCCTCCTCCTCCTCCTCCTCCTCCTCCTCCTCCTCCTCCTGTGCTTGTCGCAGCCCCGGGGGTCGGGGCCCAACCCTGCAGGACGTTTTTCGGGGGCGGAAAAAAAGGGGGTGATGACAAGGGGGTGGTGGATATCATGGCGGGGACCATGATATTTCCCCAGATATCATGGCGCCTCCTCCTATTTCATTACGTCCCTGGCCCCCCCGCTGGGTCGCGCACATGCCGCCGGGCATGATTGCACCCCCCCCCTTTTGGACACCCCCCTCTTGGCCGCCCCCGAGTTTTCGGGCATGGGGATCTCCAATCAAATTGGGCCCCGAAATAATGTGTTGGTGCTTTTCGCAGCCCCAGAGGTTGGGGCCCAGCCCTGGAGGACATTTTCTGGCATGGGAGCCTGTTTAAAAAACGTTTCGGGCCCCGAGACAATTATTGCGGTGTCTTTCGCCTCCCGGAAGGTCGGGGCCTAGTACTGGAGGAAGCATTCGGGTTTGGGGACCTCCCCCCCAAACAAGAATCAGGCCCCGCAGAATTCACGTCGGTGCTTTTCGCAGCCCCTGGGGTCGGGGCCCAGCAGCCTTGGAGGACGCCGGGCCTAGGGACCTCCAAAATGTTTAATTTTTCGGGCGCCGGAAAACATTATTTTCGTGTTTTTCGCAGGCCCTGGGGGTCGGGGCCCAGCTATGGAAGAAGTTTTCGGGCTGGGGGACCAACAAATAATTGTCCGGGCCCCGAACATTATTATTACACCTAAGAAAAACCCCAGTCAGTGGATGGTTTGAAATGGGATCGATAAAGAAATCGATAAGGAGATCGACCGGGAAGCTTGGAACCCGGAACTCACCGAAATCGGCCCAGAACCAATAACCAGGAACCCGGGAACCCGAACCCGCGAACCCAGGAACCCAGCTGGCTACCAAAATAGACGGGAAAGTTTCGCCAAATCTTTCAATATCCGCTAGGACCCCTTCAGTGCAAGCACTGATTGGGAAATTCTTGCGTTTTCGCAGCCCTGGGGATCGGGGCCCAGGCCTGGAGGGCGCTTTCGGGCATGGGTGCCCTTTTTGAAAAAAAGTCGGGCCTGGGTGCCTTTCTTCCGAAGCCCAAGGGAACGGCACCCAGCCGTGGAGGACGGTTTCGGGCTTCGGGACTACCATGACAAACTTCTCGGGACCCGAAAAGTGTCTTCAGGCCATTTTTCGCAGCCCCCGGGGGTCGGAGCCCAGCCCTGGAGGACGTTGCCGGCTTTGGGGTCCAACAAAAAAACAATTCTGCCCCCAAAAGGTTTACAGTCGGGGCCCTGAAGAAGGAACCCTTTTCGTTGGGGAGGGGCTCCGTGTTCCTTCATTGTTTCGCAGCTTGCCTCAGATTTTCCTTAGGGCTTCGATACGAAATCGAAGTTTAACGTATGGAAAATACCCAGACCCCCGACGTAATGATTTGTTCATTACGTCGACCCCCAGAGGTCTGGACCCTTTCCCCGTGACCGGCTTTGCATCCTGAGTCGTTTTTGGACGCTCCCGAGGCCCGGTGAGGGCCCCCAGAGGCCGAAAATTTGGAAAAACATCCCGTCATGATTTTTTCATTACCCGAGGGGGTCTGGGTAAGGGCCTCGTTCCTTATGTAGGGCTCCTTAGGTCAACGCCCCGACTGTAGTTCGGTGTTTTTCGCGGCCCCGGGGGTCGGGGCCCAGCCGTGGAGGAGACGCCTTCGGGCCCGGGGGGACCTCTCAAAAGAACACACCGGGCTAACACAAAAAAAACGTGGTGCTGTGATGTTCGCGGCCGCGGACCCAGACCCCCTCGGGTAATGAAAAAATCATGACGGGAGGTTTTTGGTTATTTTCGGCCTCTGGGGGCCCTTACCGGCCCTCGGGACCGTGAAAAAACGACTCAGGATGCAAAACCGGTCCCGGGGAATGGGTCGAGACCTCCAGGGGTCGACGTAATGAAAAAATCATGACGTCGGGGGTCTGGGGAGGTCGGGGCTCGGCCCTGGAGGACGTTTTCGGGTTCGGGGACTCCGCCGACCAAAATTCGGACCAAGAATCGGTGATTGCGGTGTTTTCCGAAGCCCCTGGGGTCGGGACCGAGCCCTGGAGGACTGTTTCAGGCTTCGGGGCCTCAGAGAGAGAAGAGAAGAAGGAAAAAGGGAAACAAAAAACAACAAAACAGCAACAACAGACTGCTGCCGAACAACATATTTTAGCGGTTGTCGCAGCCCCGGGGATCGGATCCCAGCCCTGGAAGACCCTGTCGGGCCTGGGGACCCCCTTAAAGCAATGTTCGGGCCCCGATGCTGGGGGCGCGGGGCCCAGCCTTGGAGCCTGGAGGACGCCTTCGGGCCCAGGGTGCTCTTCGCGGCCCCGGCGTCGGGGGCCCAGCCCTGGGGGAAGCTGTCGGCCCTGGGGACGTCCAAAACAGTTGATTCTTCGGACCCCGAAAAGCTGATTTGGGTGCTCATTCGCTGCCCCGGGGGTCAGCCCTGGAGGACACTGTCGGGCCTGGGGGCCTCCAAGACGATTCCTCGGGCCCCGAGAACTTCATGTGGGTGCTTTTCGCAGCCTGGAGGACGTTTTCGGCCTCCGGACCTCCCGCGGAGGAGGAACAAAAAAAACGTGTCTCAATGCTGTTCGCAACCCCGGGGGTCGGGGCCCAGCCCTCTTGGAGGACGTCTTCGGGCCTGAGGGCCCAGCCCTGGCGGCGACGATCGAGCATAGGGAACTCCAACAATACTGTCTCGGGCCCGAAAAAAGTTGATGCTGGTGCTCTTCGCAGCCCCGGGGGGGTCGGAGCCCAGCCCTGGAGGACGTGGTCGGGCCTGGGGGCTTCCCCAACAAAAAATCGGAGGCCGAAACAAAGTACGTCGGTGCCTCTCGAAGCCCAAGGGACCTTTACCCAGCTGTGGATGACGCTTTCGGGCCTGGGGACTACCATGAGATTGTTCCAGGCCCCGAACAAATTAACGAATGCAGTGCTTCCCGTGTCTGGCCCCAGCCCTTGAGGATGCTGTCGGGCCTGGAGATAATAAAAACGGGGCAGCCGCTCCAAGAGATCGGGGTTCCAAACGATTTATGTTGGTGTTTCTCGCGGTTCAGAGGAGCGGGGCCCAGCCCTGGAGGACGCTTCTGAGCCTGGGGGCCTCACCTGGAGGAGGAGGAGGAGGAGGAGGAGGAGGAGGAGGAGGAGGAGGAGGAGGAGGACGAGGGGGAGTAGGAGGAGGAGGAGGAGGAGGAGGAGGAGGAGGAGGAGGAGGAGGAGGACTGTGCGGCGCCTTGGGCAGTGTTCGTTTGATCCCCGTGCTCGGCATGTGTGCTCGGGCCCTCGCGCCTCTGAGATCGCTTGTTCGGGCGTGTTTTCGGGTGATTTGTGTGTTCGGCCAGAGCTTCGCCAAGTTATGCGAGACAGAGTGGAGGGTTTAAAGCGTACAGTCGGGGCCCTGAAGAAGGAACCCTTTTCGTTGGGGAGGGGCTCCGCGTTCCTGAAGTGTTTCGCAGCTTGCCTCAGGTTTTCCTTAGGTTTCCGATGGGAAATCGAAGTTCAACTTATGGTAAAAAGGGGCCTCGTTCCTTATTTAGGGTTCCTTAGGTCAACGCCCCGACTGTAGTCGCGCTGATCGCTGTGATTGGTGTCTGGCCGCGTTGTAAGGTTGCCTGGGTTCCTCGGGTCCCTTCGTTTTTCTCTTGCTATGGTTCCAGAGGGGCGTTTTTCGGGTGACCCAGCAATGCCAAGCAGCTCAAAGAAGTGCCAAGCAGAGCAGAGAAGCGCCGAGCAACTCCAAACAACATCAAACAACGCAAAGCAACGCAACACCGAGCAAAACAATGCGACGCCAAGCAATGTCCAGCAATGAAGTTTCAGTTTTTTGTCCACGGCGTAGAGCCCGAAGGTCCACACAACTTCCCCGCGGCCGCCGGCGTTGCATCCCGACTCGTTGCTTGACGGTCCTGTGGGGCCCGGCGGGAGCCCCCGGGAGTCCGAAAGCAAGGAAAAACCTCCTGCCGCGTCTTCCTCCTCCTCCTCCTCCTCCTCCTCCTCCTCCTCCTCCTCCTCCTCCTCCTCCTTTGTCACGACGAGAGGAGGTCTGGGTCTGCTCTGTCCCCCCCAGGAGCTGGAGAAGGCGTGCTGCTGGAAGTGGTGGTGACGTGTCGCCGTGGCGCCCTGCCCGGGGCGCGGCAGCCTCTCATCCTCTCCCCCCCCTCCCCCTCCTCCTCCCTCCTCCTCCTCCTCCTCCCCCCTCCTCCTCCTCCTCCTCCCCTCCACCTCCTCCACCTCCTCCTCCTCCTCCACCTCCTTCTCCCCCTCCTCCCCCTCCCCCCTCCTCCTCCTCCTCCTCCTCCTCCTCCTCCTCCTCCTCCTCCTCCTCCTCCTCCTCCTCCTTCTCCCCCTCCCCCTCCCGGCGTCTCGTGATGGGGGCGATGCGCGGGGGGGGGGGGGGCGGGGCCGAGGGCTGCAGGGGAAAACGGGCCCTAATTTAGGGCCCGTTTTCCCCTGCAGCCCTTTAGTAAAGGGGCCCTTTAGTAAAGGGGCCCCTTTAGTAAAGGGCCCTTTAGTAAAGGGGCCAGTTTTCCCCTGCAGCCCTTTCCCTGATTTGGGGCCCCTTTAGTAAAGGGGCACCACATGGCCCCCTGATGCACCAAAGGTGCACCTTCGGGGCGAGGAGGAGGCTCGAGGAGGGCGAAGAGGAGGGCGAGGACGGCGAGAAGGAGGACAAGGAGGGGGGCGAAGAGGAGGGCGAGGAGGAGGGCGAAGAGGAACGCGAGCAGGAGGGCGAGGACGGGGGCGAGGAGAAGCTCGAGGCCGGCGGGCACCTGCTCATCACCCCTCATTTCACTGACGCCCGACATCCGGAGGCGCGTTCGCTCGCGGCCCGTCTACCACAGAGCGGCGGACTGCTCGCATCGAAGCACCCAAGAAACCACCACCATGCCTGGTCAGGGCCCCGGGACGATGCGCAGACCCTGCAAGCTTCGGCCAGGGGGGCGCATACCTTGATATCCTCCCCAGACCTTCAAGACTGTTGTTGCTCAGCACTCAGACTTGTCTTGTCCTACTTGTCCTCGTATTCCTTGTTCGTTAACCCCCTGGAAAGGGAATGTTTATGTCATGGGAAAATATGAACAATCTAGATGCATACAAAACATTATCCCAGTGCGACCCTACCTAGGAGTTGGAGCCCCTAGGAAAGCAGCATTAGTAGTAACAGTAAAGCTAAGCTAAAGCTAAGCTAACGCTAAGCTGAAGCTAAGCTACAGCTAAGCTAAGGCTAAGCCAACACTAAGCTAAAGCTAAGCGAATGCTAAGCTGGAGCTAAGCTAAAGCTAAGCTAAAGCTAAGCTAAAGCTAAAGCTAAAGATAAGCTAAAGCTAAGTTAAAGCTAAGCTAAAGCTAAGCTGAAGCTAAGCGAAAGCTAAGCTAAAGCTAAGATAAGACTAAGCTAAGGCTAAGCTGAAGCGAAGCTAAAGCTAAGCTAAAGCTAAGCTAAAGCTAAGCTGAAGCTAAGCTAACGCTAAGCTAAAGCTAAGCTAAAGCTAAGCTACAGCTAAGCTAAAACTAAGCTAACACTAAGCTAAAGCTAAGCTAACACTAAGCTGAAGCTAAGCTGAAGCTAAGCTAAAGCTAAGCTAACACTAAGCTAAAGCTAAGCTAAAGCTAAGCTAAAGCTAAGCTAAGGCTAAGCTAACACTAAGCTAAAGCTAAGCTAAAGCTAAGCTAAAGCTAAGCTAAGCTAAGCTAAGCTAAAGCTAAGCTAAAGCTAAGCTAAAGCTAAGCTAAAGCTAAGCTAAAGCTAAAGCTAAGCTAAGCTAAAGCTAAGCTAAGCTAAGCTAAAGCTAAGCTCTAAGCTAAAGCTAAAGCTAAGGCTAAAGCTCCCTAGGGGGGGACTGGGGGAACCGCGGGGCGGAGACTGGGGGAACCGCCCGGGGCGTGTAGCACTGCCCGGCCCCTTTAAGCTAGAGAGTAAGAACCCTTCTAGGCAGAGCCTAGGTAGGGAATAAGCGCGTGCCTGTTTTTTATATGTGTTAAGCACGTTCCGTATTCTTATATTAATCCAGGTATCTCATTTGCTGTTATGAAAGAAGGAAGAACACATGAATCTGAAAAGCGAAGCGCGCCAGTGGCCCCCAAGGGGCTGCCGACCCACCCTGCTCACGCGCTGGTGACCCTGCGAGGGTCGGCGATCTTGACTTACTCGCCGGCGGCCCACGAGGGCCGGCGGCCCCCGAGGTTCGCGCGCCTGCGGCCCCGAAAAGGAGATGCACGAAGGTCACGAGCAATGCACTCCGAAGCGCGCACCTCGGCGACAGCGCACTCTCGGAAAGTTCTTGGCTGGTCTAGCTGACCAGACCGCTGTCGTGAGAACCGCGACGCCCGCGGATCACGCAGAAGTCCTCGGGCTCTTGAGGATGAGGCGCAGTTACCCACGGGGCCGACGAGTGCACAGGCGGGGCGTGACGCATAATGACCGTTTGCGCGCTGGTTGCGACATCCGAGACATCCACGAGCTAGACGGCAAGACGCCGCCATGCGTTGTTTGTTTGTTTGTTTTTCCGCCACGTGAAATGAACAACACGCGGCCGCCGCATTCATTTTTGACGTGCCGAATATACACGCATATGGAATCAAATATGTTCGTCTAGAGTTCGTTGTCGATTGCACATTACACACGCTGGACCCTGGAGTGACCCAGCGATGGATAGGCACGAGCCTCTTACACCCTCTGGCATCGAACGCACGCGGATCCCAGCGCGACACCATGCTAGGCCGCACGAACGAAGGGCCCATTGCTATGAGGTGGACCTTGCGCGAATATTTCAAGATCAAGACAATGCAAAACGAATCGCTCGGCAAGCCAACCTCGGGTAAAACACGTGTCAGCGAAGAGCTTCGGGCCCCAACCTGGGCGAGCCTCACCTGAAGGCCAAGGGGGCGAGACCAGGAACACTGTCGCCTTTGCGCTTGAGACGTTGCTCCGACTCGAGCAATGCACCGGAACAAAAAGTGATAATCTCATCGTGGCAGGAGAATCCCCTGGCAAAGTCCACACGTTGATGGGTTCGCATCATGGGCGGGTGGATGCGATATCGCAGCGAGAATGGTTCATATTTACATGTTTGAAGCGGATGGGCACGCCATACCGAAACACCACGCGATGGTGCACATGAGTCCAAATGCGAGTAGCAAAGTTCACCCATCTTATTATTCAACGTGCGAAGATGAGCACGAAAACGGGGTCACCGCTTCCGCTGGGACGTCAGCACACATAAGGACACGTTCGAAGCCTTGTTTTCGAAGGCCTCGAGGTAGCGGAACCGTTTGCGTGAGTTGGCCTTTCGCAGAATGTCCTTTCACGTTTCTGAGCAGTGAAAACATCCCACTGGCACCTGGTTCGCTTGATTCGCACGGCTCTCGCCACCTCCGCCTGATTCGAAAGGCTCTCGCCACCTCCGCTGGATTCGAATGGCTCTCGCCACCTCCGCCTGATCCGAATGGTTGTCGCCACCTCCGCCTGATCCGAATGGCTCTCGCCAGTCCCGCCGGACGCTTGTCGGCGACCTGCCGGCGCCGTGGGGGCGGCCCGCGGCTGTGCTACAACGAAAACATTCCTCCTCACCTCCGCAAGGTCGACAGCCCCTTGGGGGCAATTGGCGCGTGTTGTTCCTCAAACTCAGCTCTCCTGTTGTCTATATGATATGTGTGTGTGTGTCCTCTACGCATACCCAAAAAAACCGTTCTTAATTCATACGATAGTAAGAACAAACTAAAGTTACAGAAAGTAAGAACGATCTTCATCAATCATATAAAAACAAGCGCTGTCTGTTTTATATCGATTTGGGTTGTTCTTCTTTTCGCGTGGGGGAGACAACGCACAAGAAAACCAAAGAAAAGTAGGACAAGAGAAAGATGATTGCTGAAAAAATCTGAGGTCTGGATCGGGCTGTGGGAAAAATGCGACGCAGCGTTTTGGTAACTGCTCGGCCTCCGGGGGCCTTCACCAGGCCCGGGGACCATCCGAAAGCGGTTCGGGATTGACCCCGGGGAGGCGTAGATCCCGGGGGCCCACGCTGCCCCCCCCCCCCTCCCCAAAAAAAGCACGCTGCCGCAGGTCTGAGGAGCCCCGGCCAGGAGCGCGCACACACCGTGCACTGAGATTGTTGTTTTACCGCCCTTGGGGATATCAGGAGGGAAAAAAACACACAGACACAATTAATCCTCGATTTCCAAGAAAATATGGGAAAATATGGGAAGCGGGCGGGAAGACAGAAACCCAGAAAATATGTGAAAATATAAGGGAACCTTTTATTTGTGTGTATTTATTTGTGTGTCCTGGGGCCCCTTTAAGATAACGCGCGTCACCCTCCCCCCAGACCCCTTCCCCCCGTAACGGCTGCGTCTTGGAGCCGGCTACAGGCGCGACCCCGTGCAGTTCCCAGGGGTCAGTGTATGGGGACCCCATGCAGCTCCGGATCCCGACAGGGCGCTTTCGAGCCACCTTATAGCACGCGAACGAGAAAGGCAGAGGAGGAGGCAGAGGAAAAGGCGCACATGGCTGCATTGGTGCGCAAGCATCGGGTTACACAGTGGCGCTGTGGTGCACGCGTCCACTTGTGGGGTCCAAAGCCCGGATAGCAGGGCGCCCGCGGGGCGTGGAAAGGCTTGCCGAAGAATTCTGGAAGGACTTGGAGAGGAGAGAGTTCCCGAAGGACCTTCTGGAGAGCTTCCGAACCCGCGTATTGGGAAAACGTTTTTTTTATAATAAAAAACAAGCAAAAATTGTCGGGACACGCTGCAGGGTCAAGCCCCACCGAAGTGTACTGCCGGAAGCCGCAACGACCTCCGGAGTTACCCTGCGGCTTCGGCTTCTTAGTTTGAAACCCTTTTCAGCTCTCAGAGGGCTACCCAGGAAAAGTGGTGATTTGCATCCCGGGCCCCGAAGAAACAAGAATCACAAATAATTTACAAATTGAATGCTCTACGTTGGTGGGCCCGCTACGATTTGTTCTGGAACTGGTGCCCCCAGTCGGGGCCTTGGAAGTGGAACACAACCTTTGTGATGTAGACAGGCGTATCCGCAAGCATTACAGTCATCGGCCTGACCTGAGGAACGATAAATAAGGAACGAAGCCCCTGTTTCTCCCAAGGAGTAACGCATAAGGAACGCTAAATAACAAATAACGCATAAGGAACTGTAAATAACGCATGTAAACCTAAGGAACGACCGAGCCCTTTTTGAAAAGTAAGTGTTCCTTATTCAAGCCGCTCACTGTATGGCGAACGCATGCGCAAGGGGCTGTGGTGCACACGGCTTCTGTGGTGGCGCAAGCATCGTGTTGTACACAGGCGTGGAGGTGTACGAAGGCATTGCGGGCTGGCAACAAGCGGCGGACCGTCTCTCAGGCCAGTAACATCAACAGTCAGAAACAGTTCCAGCACTGAACGTGATAGGTTTGGGAGGACCACGCTTGTCAGGGCTTTGGGTCCCGTCAGGACCTTGGCGTGTACACAGGCTGTGTACGGGCGCTGCGGTTCACAGAGGCAGTGCGGGCCCCAAACACAGGGCGGACGGTATTTGGGGCCAGCCAAATCAATGAACGAAAAAATGTACATCGCGATACGTTCGGGCCCACTACAATTTCCCAGAGGTTGGGCGTCGTCGGGGTTGTGGTGTACGCAGGCGCTGTGGTGCACGCGGGCGATGTCGTGCACGCAAGGATTATGGTGCACATCAGCGACTGTTGCGCCAGTGTAGTGGACGCGCCTTTGGGGGTGTACGCCGCGGCCGCCGTTACCGTTACCCCCATTCCCCCCGCCGACCTCTTTCCCGTGACACCAGCTCCCTTTTATTGGGTAGACAATTTTCAAGGGCAGAGGACAGCCCTGGCCAGGAGAGGTGGTGGTGTTTGGGGTGCCATCTGCGCAGACTGGCTGACGAGCGCTGGCTCGCCCAGACGCGTTCGGGCCTGCGGCTCGTCAGCCAGCGGGGACCCCGCAGGCGCAGCGGCCACCACACGCGTGGCCTGCGCCCGGGCTTCGAGGTGGAGCATCGCTCGAGGCTCCACACGAGGCACTTCAAAACCATGGTGGTCCATCATCCTCCGCTGTGGGACAAGAGGCTCGTGCCCCCCACTCACCCCAAGCGCCGCCTCCTGCGGTTTCTGGTGACGGGTGTCCACCCTTGCCTTGCTCGACAGCCGCGAAGCTCTTTCCGCATTCTCCTCTCACCCACTCCTCCTCCCCCCTCCCCTTCTCCTTCTGCTGATGTTCATCCTCGTTCTCTTTCCTTGCCCGCATCCTCGTCCTCCTGCTCATACATCCGCCACCTCCGCCTCCTCCTCCACCTCCAATGTGTAGAACGGTCCTCCCATGTTCTGACTGCGCGTAACGCGATGGGGTCAGTTGGGGAGTTCCAGGTCCGCTATGACAGCCGCCGGCGGTCAAGCAGAGAAAAATCAACGCAACGGGCAGGGGTAGGCGGGTAGGGGGAGGGATAGGATGTCAGATATGGCGCGCGCGCCTAGCTTGTCCTCCCCCTCCCCCCCCCTCCTTGGGGTGGAGGGTGGCTTGCAGGACCAGGGCCCGAGCGGTCCCCGTGGGGGGGGAGGGGCGGCTCAGGACCTGGAGTGGCTGGACGCCTGGGCGGCGCCGCCCTGGCTCAGTGCGGAGCCCGACAAGGAGGCCGGGCTCGCCTCGGCTCGGCTGGCCCCCCGACGGCTCCATCGGGGGGCTCGGAGGTGGGACCCCGAGGAGATGCCCCAGACATGATCGCGTCATGAAAAAATCCGGACGGGAGGGTGTTGGCTATCTTAGGCCCCGGGGGGCCCTCGCCAGGCTTCGGGACCATCAGAAAGCGATTCAGGACGAAAAGCTGGTCCCGGGGAAAGGGTCGGGACTTCCAGGGGCGCCGTCCTGAAAAAATCAGGACGCCGCATGTCTGGGGTGGGGCCCCGAGGCTGAGCCCTGACTGTTCGGTGCTCGAGCTGTCCGAGGCCTCCACCGCAGCGCCATGGCCACCGTCTTGAACCGCGAGACGCGCGCAAGAAGTGTCTCATCTAAGGAGCAGGGATCGTGAAGCACGGCCTCGAGCAGCGCCGGGTGCTCGCGAACCCTTTGCTTCTTCCCGTGCACGAAATGCGCGAGCGCAGGCGGGACCGAGAACGCAGTGCGCTGCATTGCCGAGTGCCAGCACTAGGGCGGCGCAGTCCACCATTCAGGAGGGAAAGAAACACACAGACACAATTAATCTTCGATTTCCTGGAAAATATGGGAAAATATGGGAAGTGGTGGGGGAGACAAAAACCCAGAAAATATAGGAAAATATGGGGGATCTGTTTATTTGTGTGTATCTATTTGTGTGTCCCAGGGCCCCTTCACATGCTCTGGCCCAGTGGGCTTCCTGCGCCCTGGAGCCCCAAGGTCCAGAAACGACCGTGGATGTGTTGAGCAGCCTGCGGAGAGAGCGGCAATTTTTTCGGGATCCGGAGGTGCTCCGCGGTGTTCGGGCCGCTCCTCCTCGGACACGGGTCGGGGAACCGGTTCGTGGCCGAGGCTCGCCGTGGCCTGAAGAGCCCCTTCGTTGCTTGTGCGGCGTTCCTCGTGCTGGCAGGATGGACATAGGGCCTGCCTCAGGACCCCGTCCTTAACCGAGGTGCTGCTTCGGTTTCGATAAACGGCAGCGTGGGCGCTGGAGGCGTCGGCGGCTCCATGAGCCGGTCGCCTGGAGGGCGGCCTTCGGGGTTCAGAGGGTTCGAGGATTCGAGGCTCGAGGGTTCGAGGCTCGAGCATTCAAGGCTCGAGGATTCGAAGCTCGACCATTCGAGGCTCGAGCATTCGAGGCTCGAGGGTGCGAGGCTCGAGCATTCGAGGCTCGAGCATTCGAGGCTCGAGGGTGCGAGGCTCGAGGATCCGGCTCGAGGCTGGAGGCTAGGGGTTCTCAGGAGTTGGGGGCTCCATGCTCGAGGGCTCGGGCTCTCGAGGATCCAGGATCGAGGTCGGAGGATCAAGGATCGAGGCTCGAAGATTCGAGGATTCGAGGATTCTAGGATCGAGCATAGATTCAAGGATCCTGATGCGAGGCTCAAGGGTCGAGGTCTTGTGGGCGGCCTGGCCTGACTGGTTGCCGACGTTCGCGCGCATGCCTCCCGCATGAGACCGCGCGTCGGCGCCCTTCTTCTCCACGCGGCGTGCCACGCCGGCGGCCCGCGCAAGCCGCGGCGTAGGGTCGCCGTGGCATCGCGCGCACGACCCCTTCCGTTCCGTCTTGCACCTGGCGGGGGCGGAGGAGACTGTTTTCTTTTTGTCTGGAAATGGGATATGTTTCCATCCAGGTCTCACCGATGCGAGATGGGACATGTTCGTATCGCTCCGCGTTCGCATGTTGGCATTGGGCGTATGTCTCATGCTCCGGGCTTTTCGTCTTATTCGAATGAGACGTCTCGATGTTCCTCTTCGTGCTACTGCTCGTGCTACTGCTCGTGCACCGAATCCGTGACACATGCATTTGCCTTGATATGTGAGCCCAAGTTGTTTGTGATGGGCCTGGCAGGCGGTGTGGAGAGTACATGTGGTGCGTCGCGGTCGTCCCCTTCCTCGTCGAAAAAAAACTGTTTTCTTTTTGTCTCCTGGCGCGTAACGGTCGCCGCCTGGGCCACCACCACTACCCCGGGTTAGCGGGGGGGCGGCCTGGACCCCCCACGCATGCTGGCGGTGGTCGAGGCTCCAGGGGCAGGGGCAGGGAGCCGGAGGGAACCGCAAAACAGGAGGAGGAGGAGGAGGAGGAGGAGGAGAGAGGAGAGAGGAGAGAGGAAAGACGAGGGCGGGGAAGACGGAGGAGGAGGAGAGACCAGGAGAGAAAGGGGGAGGAGGAGGAGGAGGAAGAGGAGGAGGAGGAGGCGGAGGAGGAGGAGGCGGCGGAAGACGGAGAAGGAGGAAAAGAAAGGAGGATAGAGGACAGAGGACACAGGAGGAAGACGGATAATGAGGAGGAGGGGGAGGAGAGACTTGTGTAAATCCAAGACTCACCAACGATATTGCAATAAACCCTCCCTCCAAGTTCCCTCTTCACAGGTCCCTACAAGGAGTTGTTCTCACTTAGGAAAGTGCCCCGCTGGAAGACAAACCTTTGAAAATCTTGAACCGTGCCAAAACACCATTCGATGGAGTTCAACGCCGCGGATCAGCGTGACTGCTGCGCCCGCACGATCCTGAATAGCGACACAATGCACCAGTCCTGAGAATTCAACACCGCGAACAAACGTGATTGTTGCGCCGTGGTCCCACATCGTGCCAGAATATTATTCCCGGGACGTCAACCAAAAGATTCCTTGGAATGGCTGTTGACGCGCAATGCGATTGCGCGCGGCACAAAGGCGAGAGCCGCGTCTTGAAAAGGAGCCCCCTTTCCGTCCGTGAAATGGCTGCAAAAACTCTTAAGATGAAAGGACGCAGCGATAAGGGGAGAGCCGCGTCTTGAAAAGGAGCCGCCTTCAATCCGTGAAATGGCTGCAAAAACTCTTAAGACGAAAGGGCGCAGCGCTGAGGGGCGAGCCTCGTTTTGAAAACGAGCCGCCTTCCATCCGTGAAGTGGCTGCAAAACCTCTTAAGATGAAAGGGCGCAGCGCTAAGGGGCGAGCCTCGTTTTGAAAAGAAGGCGCTTTCCATCCGTGACAGTGTTGCAAAGACTCGTGAGACGAAAGGGCGCCGCGCTAAGGGGCGAGCCACGTTTTGAAGAGGAGGCGCCGTCCGTCCGTGAAAGTCTTGCAAAAACTCTTGAGACGAGACGGCGCAGCACTAAGGGGCGAGCCACGTTTTGAAGAGGAGGCGCCGTCCATCCGTGAAAGTGCTGCAAAAACTCGTGAGGGACGAAGTGTGCGCGGCGCTCAGGCGAGAGAGCAGCCTTTTGAAGAGGAACCGCCCGCCGTCCCGGAAGCTCTGGTTCAGACTTCCGAGACGAGTGTGCGCGGCGCTGAAGCGAGGGCCAGATGGTGATCCTTGTTTTATTCACTGCCTATCGTTGCCCCCGATGGGCGGAGCGGGCTATCGGGCCCCTGGCGGCGATGAGTGGGCGCTGGGGGGCCGCTGCGGCCCCCCCTGCGAGCCAGTCCCGCCGTGACATGTTGCCCCTGCCGTCCGCCCGAGCGGGTGTGCGCGCCGGCTATCTCCTCCCAGCAGCTCCGCGGAGCAACGCCAGGGATGCGCTCTCCGCTTCAGCCCCGACCGGCGCTCCGCCCTCGCGCTGTGCGGCGGTTGGTGAGGTGCTCGTTTTTTTACTCATTGCTTTGCCGATCGGCGCGGGCCCTCGCACCCCCCCCCCTCCATGGAGTGGATCTTGGCTGTTTTTGGCATCTGTTTCGAGCGGGTGGAGTCTCCCCCAGAGGCACCCATTCCCCCCTCCCCATGGAGAGGATCGTGGCTGCTTTTGGCGTCTGTCTCGAGCGGGTGGAGTCTCCCCCAGAGGCATCGCTGCTGCAAACAGTCGCACCAAGCAGAGGTCCAGAGCCAGACACTCCCCCCCCCCCTTCCGCCCCACGTCGAAACGCCGAAGAAAAAAACGCTCACATGGTGAAAGCAGTCCGCCCTCAATCCTTGAACCTCCTGCAGACCTGCAAGACGAATGTGCGCAGCGCTGCGGCGAGAGCCACGCCGGGATAACGGCTCGCCCTGCATCCGTGCACTCGCCGAGGCTCGAGGATCAGGGGCGAGGAGATGGAGGGAGGAGGAGAGAGGAGGAGAGATGAGAGAGAGGACAGAGAAGGCGGGGGGAGACGGAGGAGGAGGAGGAGGAGAGAGCAGGAAAGAGGAGGAGGGAGGAGAGAGGAGAGAGGAGAGCAGAGGTAGGGGAAGACGAATGAGGAGGAGGAGGTGGAGGAGGTGGAGGAGGAGGAGAGGAGAAAGCGGGGAGAGGAGGAGGGAGGAGGAGAAGGAAGACGGAGCAGGAGGAGAGGAGGAGGAAGACGGAGCAGGAGGAGAGGAGGAGAAGGAGGAGGAGGAAGAGGAAGAGGAGGAGGAGAGAGAAGAGAGGAGACAGGCAAGCTAGGTGCGCTCGCACCATATC